GACGCCACTTCTTCTGGAGACTACCACATTATTCCGTGCAACACGACTGCTAAGCTACAAGTGCAATTCTCCGGTGTGAATTACACCATTTCTCCGAAGGACTACGTGGGAGCAACCTCTGGTTCTGGATGCGTTTCGAACATTATCAGCTATGACCTATTCGGTGATGACATCTGGCTCCTGGGCGACACGTTCCTCAAAAATGTGTATGCCGTGTTTGACTACGACGAGTTACGGGTCGGGTTTGCAGAGCGTTCCTCGAACAGCAGCTCTACGTCGAACTCTACGAGCTCTGGAACAAGCAGTACCTCGGGATCCACTACAACGGACAGCTCAACGACTACAACGAGCTCTGCTAGCTCTAGTAGTTCATCCGATGCTGAATCGGGAAGTGGAATGACCATGCCCGCTCCTCAGTATTTCTTCTCTGCTTTGGCGATTGCTTCCTTCATGCTTTGGCTCTAGTTAGCTTTGGGGAAAGGCTTTCGCATCCACTCGACGTCTGAACCTCGGGAAACGTATGCATTGTTTACAAGTGCTGCTGATTTGTATCTGCATATTTTTCTAGAGCCTAGACAGCGTGCGGGTCATATTACCTTACATTCGAAGTCCTTCTCTAATCAATCAACTTTCATTCTTACTTCACCAGTGCTTACTCGCAATAACCCCTATCTAAACGAAATGGTATAAAACATTGCATCCGCCATCCACTATCGAGATATCTAAAGAACCTTGTCCGGGATCAATGTGTATGACTTCGGGTACGATTCTGACAACACAATTAGCTTTCACCCCAAGAGAATATCCTGATCACCTTACCTAGTATAGACTTATCAAAGTCCTTGACGCTATTGTACCCTCCAACAGCCATCAAGATATCGAAATCGGCCAACAGCGACTTCATCACATGACGAACCCCCTCCTCACCCATGATACTAAGACCCCAGATCCAGAGCCGGCCGACGAAAACAAAGCGAGCTCCCAAGGCCAGCGCCTTAGCGACATCGCTGCCTCCACGAACACCAGAATCAAACATGATGTAAATCTGATCACCGACCGCATTGGCAATATTTTCCAACGCATCAAGACTAGCAATAGCACCGTCCACCTGTCTGCCCGCATGATTGCTCACCACAATCCCATCAACCCCATACTCAACGCACTTCTTCGCATCCGCCACAGACTGGATCCCCTTGATCGCGAACGGCCGACCACCAGAAATCTTCTTCCACTGCTCAATCAACCAGGGGATCTTCTCCCACGACCAAGCACGCCCATGCCAAACTGAATCAATCCACTTCGCCGATGCAGCCACCACATCCTTCTCCGGATCGATGCCCGCCTCGCGACACCGTTTCTGGAACACCGGATCCGTCAAGCCAAGGTCCGCGCCGATGCCACGGTAAAAGGCATAATTGGAATTAGCGACGTCGTCATGTCGCCAGCCCAATTGCCAGGTATCAGTTGTGAGAATCAGCGCGTCGAATCCGGACTTCCAGGCTCGGTTGAGCAGGGACAAGGTCAGCTCGTCATCATGTGGCATGTATAGCTGGAAGAAACGTGGGCTGCCTTGGCCGTTAGCTTCGCCGACTTTCTCGATCGGGGTGCTTCCTGCTGTGGAGAGACAGTAGGGGAGGTTGAGTTCGCCGGCCACTTTGGCTACTGCGAGCTCGGCGGATGGGTGGTAAATCTTGTTGATCCCAATGGGCGCGAAGCCGATTGGCGCGGATACTTTGTGGCCGAAAATCTCGGTGGTGGTGTCTCGCTGGTTGGTGTCCACTAGTTGGTTGGGGATGATCCGATGACGGAAGAAGGCTTGCCGGTTGGCGAGGTGGGTGTTGGACATGCCTGCGTTGGAGGATGCATAGAACCTGGATGGGTTAATGAGGCATCTATGAGGGGAGTGGGATTCTCGTACCAGCCTCCTTGGCTCAACTTCTTGTGTGCCTCCTCTTCGAGCTTTCTCGGGTCTGTTGCACAGCAAGTCTTGTTAGCGAGCTGGTTGAGATGGAGTTGGGGTTTGGAAGTGGTGTGTACCTGTGTTGAACGGGACTGTTTGGCCATCGTTTACTTTCCAAAAGTTCTCACGCTGGTACAGAGCCCATTGTGGGGTTGTTCGCTTCTCAATGTTGGGGTTGGTTGGGTCACTCATGGTTGATGTTTCTTACACTTGTATAGAAACGATGTAAAAAGGTGGTTATGTATATAAATAGAATGGAATCTATCTGATATAGACGAATTGCAGAAATATACAAAAGATATTCTACAATGCAATACTACGAAAAAAGAAAACCACAACAGATATACAAAGTAAGAAGTCCAATTTATACTTGGAATGACTTCACCTTGACGCAGCTCTCGGGCGAGAAACCGAGTTGGTTCCTGAGGCCACCCAGCAAACTGGCCTGAAGATCAGCTTCTGCCTGACTCGCAGTCCCATCTCTTGGTCACACCGGAGCTCAGGTACAGAGTAGCTCCCTCTTCAGGGGATAATAGTTGCTCCTGTTAATGGCCCCCTTTAGTGCATGAGATGGTCGGTATCGAAGGAGAGTAGCGGCGATGATGTCATTGCACAGTAGTCGGGATCATCACAATTCAGTTTCTACTTCACTTCGCCCTTATATCTTTTCACAGGGGTGAAGAATCACCCTACCTCCAGTTCATATGTTAAACATGTAAATAAAACTCAATGACTCACTTGTTCCATACCGAACCCGACATGTCAGTTCAGGGAAATATACTTTCTCGCGTTACCGACTTGCTCCGGCCATTGAAGCCGGAGCCGGAACAGCCGTCGGGAGATCCGCTTCAACTACCGAAGCCGAAAGTTCAGCTTCGTGTTCGACACATCATCTTGATCCATACTTATCTCTTCCTTCACTTTTGCAACTGTACACTATATCCAGAAATCTATTCATTCGGATAGATAGAAGAGAACTGGACTCACTATGTTCGGCTTAAGTACAAGACGCTCCGCCGCGTCGCGCTCCAAATGTCTTACCAACACCCCGACCACCCTTAGTAGCAGTGTCCGCTCACCTGCGCACCGATCTCTGCTCTCAGCCCGGGAATTTCACCCCAGTCATCACAATGCCGCATTCCGACCTACTTGGATGCCTATGAGAGTTAAGACTCCTTGGATTGAGGCGCTCACGAAAAGTCGCGAGACTGCAAAGTCTAATCAGGGGGCTGCTGCTGCGCCCTCGGCAAAACCTGATATGACGCCGAAGAAGATGTCGGATAGTTATTATAGCGCTGTAGGTGCACTTGCTGACCTCGGAGGGGGGAACAAGCTGATTGATGGGTCTGTCTTTAGGTTCTGCCTCTGGCTCAGGATAAATGGCTGCTTGATACGTATCTTAATGCTTCGGGACATATTAGGTGAGTGTCTCTGATATCTGTTTTTTGCGGTGATAATTTACTGATGGATGCAGATTGGGATCCCTGCTTATGGACCTCGATGCGCTGGCGGGTGTCATTGCCTACAGACATGCTGGTGACTCGGTCACTACTGTCACGGCGGCCGTGGATCGCATTACCATTGAGCATCCGCTGATGGAGATCTGTGACCTCGAACTCAGCGGTCAGGTCACATATGCGACGGGTCGCTCTAGTATGGAGATCTCCATTCAGGTGGCCAAGGCTCCTGCTCCAGGAAAGGAGGTTGAGCCGGAGGATGTGCTCATCACCTGTGCGTTTACGATGGTGTCGTTGGATCCTGCGACGAAGAAGTAAGCCCATGCCATCCTACCTTCTCCGTCTGAATACTGACCCTGGCACCCCAGGCCCGTCAACATCGCCCCCCTAGTGGTCGAAACAGCCGAAGAGCGTCTCCTCTTCAAGCAAGGCGAAGAGAACTACCAAGCCAAGAAAGCACTACGATCCAAGAGTCTTCTCGAGACAGCCCCCGACGCGGAAGAGAGTAACCTCATTCACTCCATGTGGACGAAGGAAATGTCCTACCTCAGTAAGTGTCCTTCCCACCAAACCAAGATATAACTCATCAATAACCGAACAACAGACCCCGAAAACCCCGCCCAACGACCCTCCAACAACGTCTTCATGAGCGACACCGTGCTCAAATCTGCCATGATCATGCAACCCCAAGACCGCAACCGCCACAACTTCATGATCTTCGGTGGCTTCCTTCTCAAACAGACTTTCGAGCTCGCCTTCTGCTGCGCCGCGTCCTTCTCGCACTCTCGCCCCAACTTCATCTCCCTGGACCCTAGCACGTTCGAGAACTCCGTGCCCGTGGGCAGCGTGCTGTATCTGCGCGCGACGGTGGCGTACACGGAGCCGCTGGAACGCGAGGGCCTGGAGAGCAAGTACACGAAGGTGCGGGTGCGCGTGGACACGAAGGTGAGAGATGTGGAGCATGGAACTAAGAAGCCCACGGGCATGTTCAATTATACCTTCCTCGTGGAGAAGGATGTGCAGGTCATGCCCAAGAGTTATAATGAATTTATGATCTGGACGGATGCTAGGAGACGGTCGGAGAATGCGGCGGCTATGTTGCATGGGTCGAAGGAGCCGAGTGCTCTGAGAGGATTGAAGGATAGTGTTACGGAGTAGATATTAGTATGGAGTTGGCTTTGATAGTGTAGAGTTTACCTGCAGTTGGTCGGTTCTTCTTGTATCATATCCAGTTAATATATAGATTCAAGGTGTAAAGTCATCGCTCCCAGACTTTTACTAGTATACTGATCGTGAAGCCTCACATGCCATTTTAACTACCAGTTCAAATATATTGACACCATTCTAATGACTATGGCAGTCCACAAAATTTATTAGTTATAGCACTGCTACACAATATTATACATATTGTACCAACGTCCATCTATTGAACCTATACCCATGTCACATGACATCATCGATCAATTCCCCGCCAAACCAAACCAAACCAAAACACAACAATATTCAATCTTATCAACAGTCCCTCACTACCTCCTTAACAAACACTCCCAAACCCAACTATACATAGAATAGACGCCATGTCAATGTCCCTCCAAAACATCTGGCATCTGCGCCGAGTAGCAGACACAGCAGCCAAAGCATGTTATATTTGCTACAAGCCATCAAGTAGTGTATTAATCACGCCTGATAATCGGGTATGAGGCCCCTTTACTTTCACTATCCCACCTTGTCTATTTTTCGGGATACATGGTTAGAGTTTTGATACTTGAACATGGAGTTTATTATCGGACAATGACTAAGGTATAATCCAGGACTTCTTCTACGTCTGCCCCTCTCACCTCCAAGACCGCCACTTCTGTTCCCCTATTGTCGACACAGAAGCGGCGGCCGCCAAGGCCAAAGAAGAGGCTATGGCGAAGGAAATCGAGAGGGTGAAGAAGGAGTATGAGGAGAAGCAGCAGCGGAAGAAGAATAAGGACGCTGAGAAGGACAAGGACAAGAAGGAAGATGATAAAGATAAAGATGACAAGTCTGCTACGAAAAAGGGGGATGAAGAGGACAAGAAAATGCAGAAGGAACGGGATGATAAGGTTCGTTCTTCTCTTCACAGTTCTATCTTCTATCTTCTTGTTTGGCTTGACGTGTATCCGCTAACATATTATAGATTGAGAGTATCAGAAAATCGACCACTTCGTCGGATGACTCGCCGAGGGTTTTTGCGTTGCATAAGTATTTCTCTCTGCTCTTGTATGGGGTTCTTTGTGATGGTTGCTAATCTATGTAGGAACTTCTATCAGATGCGTATCGACAGGATGCGCAATGCTGAGATGGCTAGAAGGAATCGTCAGCGCTTGCAGGATCCTTCTTTGTTCCCGTCTGTCCCGACTGGGGGGCTGTGAGCTTGAGTCTGGAGCTGCAAGATGATGATGTTCTTGTGAATGGATGCTGGAATGCTGACGACGTGGATGGGCGCCTACAGTTACCTTCTGGGTCGCCTGGTATGTCTAGCCTTGGCTGGATCCTTCGGTGCTCGCCGTGGTTGTATCGGGCTTGTTGGATATGATCGCCTGATGAATGTATGGCTGATGAGGAGCTCAGTGTCAGACATTAGCAGTTGCTGGACAGTCGGTGTATCGGATACGGGTTCGCGACGCGAGTGCATCTGCTCGTGCGTGAGACACTGTCACCGCGCTTTGCAAGGCGACACGCCACATGCCATGGCCAAACTGAGAATCAAATACAGAGACTGTCGATACATTTGCTACTCCGGCCTCAGTGCTCTGCCTAGCTACTACATCACTGCTACTACTCAGCTCAAGCGACGATCGCTCAGCTCCCTACCGACATATCCGTCACTCAGAAACTCATATCCGCCCTCGTCCATCAGAATAGCCATCATTACGCGGCTCACCGGAAGCAGCTTATACTGTCTCACATTTCCGGCAAGACACGGAAGCCTTAAGAGACACTTTGCACAGCCTTAACGGATCCCGGAAGTACCATAGCTTCTAGAAGCGAACTGCCTGCCTAACGGAGCTGAGAACGCAAGGCGTCTGACAGCCTTACACAATGCCAAAACCTACAAGGCTACAAACAGGGGTTTGCAGCCTAATCCAGCAACCCGATCGGAGCTTGTAGTACTCAGAAGACATAACCAGATGACCGTGTTGTGTTTGAATCAGGAAACGAAGTGAACTGCTCGTATCGAAGAACAACCGTACCAGCTCTCTCCTACAACAAACCCCAAAATAATAATAAGCGCCCCCAAAGAAAGAATGACAGAGAAATAGAAAACGCGCGGACCATGCCCAGAAACCCGTCACATGCACTATGCTCCATAAGCGATGAAATTAAGCATCGATGTGATGCATGCGTAGTTAGATAAATACAACATACAATATAGATAGACAATGTCCATCATCAATCTCTGTAATACACATATTAGGCAGATAAATAACTCACCCCTCATTTCCTCCTGACCACTCAGTCCCCTACAGAGTAATAATACTTTCCCAAAGAGAAAAGATAGTTAGTTAGTTAGAAAGAAGAGGGAAACTCCTCATGCAAAGCAGTGGATCCCCAAACGAGGCAGTGCAACTTAGTATCACCCAATCCCAATCATCCAGGACTAACTCTTAGCCCCTCTCTCTCTCCGTGTCAATGTCCCATGTTCTTAATGCACTCAGCTATACACAGAATATACACCCATAGTAAAGGGGGTGGGTGGGTGAGTGAGTGAGGTGACTCGGTTAGGTTTTCCCTGACCTAACTAACACCCTAACTAACTAATCAACTAGCTAGTAGTTGTCCCCCCCGACCCCCGACCCAAACCCCATTTTTCAGCCCGCGATATAGATAGAATAGATAGTAGTGGTTATTTTTTGCCCTGTAGGGCGGGTTAGATTTATCCCTATATTGTTGTCCCCCTCATATTATTATTATTGTTTTATTAATTATATTGTTCTGGTTTTTTTATGGGGATTGGTTCGGTTGGTGGGATGATAATGATGATGTTGTATTGTAAATAACGCCAAGATTAACGACTATATCTTATACTGTGTCTCTACTGGATAGTATTTATGCTAGCTACTACTACTTTGTGATGGTAAGGATGATCGTGAGATGAGGTTGACGTCATGTAGGGCGGAGACTAGAATACTTTAGGTAGTAGTAGTAGTAGTAGGTATGGGCATGGTAGATAAAAGTACTGTTGTTTTTATTAGGGTAGGATGCTATATTGCTGAGGGGGGATGTGTTTGAGAGGTGTTTGATAGTATTTAGTAGATGGGTATTTGGGTATTGAATGGGAGTGAGATCTCGTGTATGGGGTGAATGAATGATTATCCGGGTAATACTTTGTAGTAAAGGAAGGGAGTAATGGTAGCTACTTACCTACCTGTTTAGGCAGGTAAGTAAGTACTTATGATGATGATGATGAATGCAGGCTTGCCACTTCATTATACTACTCCATCCTGTGGTATATACAAGGCATTAATACAGATGAAATGAAAAATACACAGCATCCTACAGCACCACAACAATACCGGAAAGAAAGGTAATCTTCAAAATACGGTATGTACCAGCCCGGGATCAGCTCATCCATGGCTAGCGCGCCCCAGTTGCGTAAGAGCAGTTTGCACAGCCCCCGTGCCGGCGCTAGTGAAGCAGCCTAGACCTTCGCTAGTTCTACCCACCCTTCTTCCCCCCCTCCCCAACCCAGCCCGGATGAGCAGAAAAGTAGCAGCAGGCTTGGCAAGTTACAGTTGTCGCGCGCGCCGGGAATCATTAGTCATCGGAGGGCCCAGGAACTTGTGCCAGGCCCCGAGAACTCTGTTTTTCCTCCCCGATCTGCCCTTCTGGCTTCGCAGATCCCGGGTCTTACGTCACCGCCTGATTGGGTGCTGCTAGCTGGGGCCCGTGGGGCTGCCTTAAAACAGCCTCGTGGGGTCGGTGGGGTTATGCCCTGGATCCTGACAGGTCCTAGCGCTTAGAAGTTCTACAATTTCCCCCCTCTCATTCCCTTCTTCTTTCCCACCCGACACGAGCTGAATCCAATCAGTCTTTTTAGGCTAACTGATTTGATAAGATCATCTGGCTTGTAGCCGCCGAGGCTTGAGTTGGAATAGCTGAAGCTAGTGTGGTGCATTTGCTCTCATTGGCTGGGTTCTTGCTTGCTGGACCGATAGTAGTGAAACTGTATGTCTATCTCGACCTTGCTCTGTGTTCCAACTTGTCGCGGGATGATCGGCATCAGGGTCTGAAACCTGTCGAGCGCAGACCATACCCAAATCTAGTCTAGACCCGAGTCTATATTGTGCATAGCTGCGTTGTGTCCTTCCTTTCGTGCCTTCAATAGTGTACGGATTCGGGCTATTCCGCCAGCCTCCGCATACCATAGCAGAAGCTCTGAACGCCACACTTGCGTGCGTGGCCCGTCTATTCACGGGCCATCTCTGTCTGTTTTCAGTTCAACTATCGTTTTCCTAAACTTTGGAATCAGATGGCGCCGCTTCTAATGCCACGTGACGTAATTTGGCTCTGCGACCCGCTGGTTCGTCATTTAAAGACGTGGCTAAGGGAGCCTATCAACGAGCATGCTTAGACTTCTGACGGAGCCTTGCTGCGCCGTGATCTACCCCTGGCGAAGTCAACGTTAGGTAGCGCTACCAAAGTCTAAAGGTTTCCGCGTCCGTTGCTCTCATCCGTGGGATTAGACCGCATTCCAGGCGGCAGACGAATGCCCATCGCAGCTGGCAAGTTGCCTGGTCCGCGGCTGATGTTGACCCTCTCGGAGATGTCCACTCTGGCCTTTGCAAGGCCAATCGCAGGGACAACCCACTCGCCGCAGCTACATTGCATACCTTGCCAGGCAAATTTGCCAATGTTAGCTCCGCAGGACGAGTTGGGGCAGGTCAGACGGCCAGACAAAGGGGCGTCTTCTGGCGGCGCTCCATAAGGCGAGCTGGAGGTTTCTCCATCGGTGCCAGGAAAGAGCGACGGGCGCATCCACGTCAGTGGGTGCAAGAAGACATGAGCGCAATCAGCCGTGGATGCTCTGGCGTTCTTTTGAGTGGTATGGGGGATGATGAATTGCGTGGTCGCCAACTTGCGCCTGGTGATGTGGTCAGGAGGATCTCATAGATAAGCTTCGAAAGGATCGTAATTAAGACTAACCGGCATTTGCGACATTTGATCTCTGTCATACGACCCGCGGGCTCCTGTGATTGGCGCGGCTGCTCATCTTCAAACAGCACGGACTTCATCTCGGGTGCTCGACCACATGCTACACTCTCCTCCACCTCGCGGCGGTAAAGCCACCGGCTGTAGAGGGGGTGGCTGGTAACATCATCTGGACACCCCATCTGATGGTAGACGGAGAGCTGCTCCATGAACCCAGGATTTGGCTCACATAGCGGTCGGTTCTGTCTGATGATGTCAAGAGCGGACTCTGGTGTCAGTGCGCTAGGCTGACGGTTGAGCAGATACGCGATACAAACAGTGGCTGATCGGGATTTTCCCATCGCACTATTAACAGTCAGCACGCTTGTCATGAAGCGCAATCGAACATCCTTGTTACACAAGGTCAAGTGAACAACATGTATCACGTGATGTAAAGCACGGCTTCAGCAGGCATTATAAAAGCACAGTACTAAAGTAATAGGAAGGGGTAGGGTACCAGTCCTGGGTAAAGACCTGAGAGCAGGTCTTACCAAGGAAACATGTGGAGATATCCTAAGAGCAGATAAACGAGGGAGGACTAAACTAACCAATGTACAAGCACTCCTCCGCCGGCATCAAGACCGGACTGGATGAACTTTACAGCAGCTGGAAAATGTTCTAGTAGGTTTTCATCGTCGACATCGTCGACCTCTATGCAGTGGTGTTGATAAGACTCGAAGATATCATCAGCTGGTTGGAGGCGTAACACGGAAACAACATGTGTAATGTTTGCTCGAGTCAAGGCTGCCTTGTTCTTGAGTGCCAGTATGCTACGTGCAACTCGGTGTTAGCAAGCTTTCTGAGAGCAGAGCACTATAACCCCTCTTGGACCCTGGCCCATCATATGACGGGCCAAAGGAAGGCTTAGTATGGTAACAGAAAGTGGGAGACAAGGTAACCAACCCTCCAACATAGATATTCTGTCCTGGAATTTGATTCATCGCCATGATGACAATCTATCAAAACAGCGACCTAGATGAATAATGATGGCTCTAGATCGGGTCGACGATGTAAAAGAGTATGACGATGATAAGAGGCAGAGTGGCCATGAATGATAGCCAAGATCGGACCTGAACATTCGATATGGCGCCAAGAAATTGTGACGGTATCTGATTGGCTGGAGGCAGTCCTGCAACGGCGGCACGTAAGAAGAAACTTAGGGTGTAGGGCAAGGGTAAGGGTAACATAACAACAGCAGGTATTTGACACCTAAGGCATTAAGACAGACCCCGCATAACTTAACGGTCATTCCTTCGGCCGGCTTTGGCATGCAGCACGGACTTGGCCCAGCGTATTACGCTCTTCCTCTATACGATCATTGGCAATAATTCTTTTTAGAGGAGTGAATTACACGCTGCACAGCCCCCTTGGTTTCTCTAATCACTTCATTACCCCTCATTCATCCCGCAAGTCTACAAGATGTGTGACATGCAATTGGCTCCCCATTAGCCAGCGCATCCAGCTCCTGGATCCCAGGGGCCCTCCCGCTGCCAGCGTGATCCTCATCTAGGCCCCTGGTGGCACAGAAGCGCTGGCTCAGAAGGCGTAATATGTCCGGAGCAATGTTGGCCTGACGCCGTTGGCGTATCAGTCTGATTAATTGAAGCGGCAATTTTTGATAGGGAATCAAGGAAGGCCTTGTCGTACTACTGCAACTATCGAGACGATCTCGACCAAATCAATAGTCGTTTGATCCGTCACATTCAGAGCCGAGGAGGCCAAGGCAGTCCCCGGCAGATAGTTAGATAGTCCTCGGTCAGTCAGGCTCAGATGCCAGTGCTCGTATATTAATTTAGTGCCTACCCAAGCAGCTAGAAGTCGCCGGTTCCGGTCGTCGATCTAGCTCATCGCTTAGGCCTTGTTTGCTGCCAAGGCTTCGAGAGCTGGTCTGGAATGGAAATCGCACTATAGTCCGGCCGAGGTGAATGCTAGTGGTA